AAAAAAAAATCAAGCTTACAATGACCTAACACCCCCTTACCCCTTTTCTTTGCAGTCCTCAGCAGAACATTTGTGAGATAAAGTAAAAATTGGGTCCTAGCTACCCTCCTGTTGTAAAGTGAGCTCAGACTGAAGATGGTGGGATCAATTCCCCTGACCTAGGACCCCCACAATTACCAAATACTTTTCTTTTTAATTAGCAAGTCTTAATAATGCTAGCGTATTCCTACTTCTTGCCCTGTGCTAAGCACATCCTGTGGGAGCCGCTGGAAAAGAAATTCTAATTTTGTATGGCTGCCCAGAGAGGGCTTTACACTGACAGAAAAAAGCTGTTAGAATGCTGACCTACTGGGAATCTTTAAGATGTTAGTCAAACTACCTAAAAAAAGAAACAAAGTGACACATCACTTTTATTAGGTTGATTTATTAGATGTATATAGTTGAAACACTGGGACAGTTATCATACAAAGCTATCTTTAGGTGAAGATTTGCATTTCTGATTTGCAAAGAGAATTTTTTTCAAAGAGATTTTTTTCAAAGATTCTTGGCTACAAATGAGGTCTAGTTCTTATTACAATTAAATTGGATTTTAGTAAGATTTTTTTTGCTTTGCTCTTTGAAAGCAATCTTTCCTGAATGCATTTGACAATGGGAAAAAAATCAGTAACATTTTCCGTTGATAATGTTCCTTTTTTTTTTTTACCTTGATTGCAAAAGGCTGCCCTGGAATCCATAGTACACTGTAGGATGTCTGGCTGCTGATCAGTTTTGACATAAATGCTAAAATAAGAATTCAGGTTTTGTAAGATTGAAACTGTAATAGTATAGAAGGAGCGCTGTTGCTCTGCTGCGGAGGTTCCTGTCTGGCAAATCGTTCTATGTATGCTTGAATTTGAGAACCTAAGTAGTTCTGTTGAAACAGTGGGAATATGACATGCATATATCTAAAGCACATCTATGCAGTTGTGGTCAGGACCAGGGTCTAATTCTGTGTTTAGCCAACTGTTAATCTATGCAGTCCATGCTAGAGTGACAGTTTTGTCACGTGCTCTTCCATTTGCAAGCACTGCTCACGGGATGTGGAATGCTGTGGAGACCAGCTTTGCGTTTGGGGTGAGTGCAGGGAATCCACTTCAAAAGGAGAGAACGGCACCATTTGTGAGAACCAACACGACTGTAACCCTGGAATGTGCTGTGCTTTCCAGAAAGGTACAGAGGTTTTGATTTTTATCCTATTCATGTTATAATACAGGAGTGATAATATTTAGCTCTTTTGCCCAGGTGAAGTGGTTGAATCTCCAGAATCAGTAAGTTGATCTCCCTTGGCCTGTGGAGTGCATTGTGTTAACTTTGTTGTAACACTTTAATAGAATTAGGAGTGAGAAACAGTCCGGCAGGGTTGTGCACAATGGGGAAAGAAAAGCCTATTGCACGCTAGAGACGAGACCAGCGGGAGAAGAACAAAAATCTACTGGTTCTAAAGAAGAGTCTCAGACATTTAAAAGTAGCAGAGCTCTGTGTGAAATTTTCACCCAGTAGAGCAAAAATAAGAGAATTAAAAGTGTACAAAAGAAATTACTGAGATTACAGAAAGTAGCTTTTCCTTCATAGCAGCGAGCAGACCGTCAGAATCAGACTGCAGATACATGTCATACTCCAGCTTTCTATGAGCCTTCCAGGGCACCATGCTATGCCAAACTGACCAGACAGCCAAGATACATATGTTCCAGATTATGTTGTCAGTCCACATGGGAATGGGAAACTTGATTTACAGAAGGGAGGAGAGGAGAAGGTACCAGGCCTGAAATCAGTCCTAAATTCTGCCTGGTCAGGGCCCAGCTTCTATGGTTTTATACCCACTAGTTCCTCGCTGCTTTTGTCATAGTTCGCCTTAATTTTGTAGTGACAGGATACAATTTCAACTGTCTTTCTACAACTTCTCTAGACAGCTTTTTTCCCTGCCTTTTGCTGTGAGCAAGAGGCGACCTTGTACCTTCACCGGTAGTTGGGCTGCCTGTCCCGCTGTCAGCCTGCTGGTGGATCAGGCTGCCAGGGCATTTCAGGAAAACAAAGCAGAAAGCTCAAACACCATTGAAAGGCAAGCGGGTCTGCTCAGCTTTTCCGTGTCAGTTTTGAGCATTACATAGCAGGCTTTTGATGTTAAGTTTGGTTTCAGGAAGTGTTGGTTAGAGCAGTTTTATTTTCCTCTTAATCGGATTTCTGCCTAAAGCATTTACAGATTTTGCCACGCTCCACCACAGTTTTCTTTGATTCTGAGATGAGACACAAAGAGGACTTTTAATAAATGCATATGACTTTTACCATGAAAGACTTGGAATCTCTGCTTATGCTGCAGAGATGAGTAAATCAGTAGTATGCATCCACTGGGGTAGTAGCACTAGTCTACTATGAAGGTAATAACTGCTTCTGTAGCCCTGATTTCCTATGGGATCTAAACAAGCTGTGTCTTCACCATGATTATTGCAGCTGCGTAAAGACATTCACACCAACTGGAGCATAAGTTAGTGCTTGGCTGGAAATGAATTTAGTACAAATCTGTAACTCAGGAAGAAAGAATACAATAGATAAGAATATTGACTAAAATTGATGGAACACTATTAATATAACTTTAAATAGAGCTGTTTATTAATAGCTATGGATTTTTATTCTCTACAGTTGTCTGCTTTAGCACTGCTTTAGGGATTTTCAGGTTAGGCTTAACCTCAAGGTCTTTTTCCATCACAAGAGTATTGCAAAAGGGTGTCCTAATGAAGACTGGACCCTCTTTACATGGGTATTTTTTATATAAAATTGTAGCAAACTACAGAGCATTTGCTGCTTAAGATGAAATCAGTTTTGGAATTAGGAACTGGTAAGTCATGTATGGTAAAGCATATGGCTGTGTCTGTGTATACACACACACACACACATACATATACTTTTTTTGACCAAGCCTGCTTTAAAAACTTAAATTCTAAACTCTCCGCATATTTTATTCTGACACACCACAAAAAATGAGGCGAATGAAAACAAGAGTAGGAAGGGAGGTTTGATAGGAACATCTGGAGGAGCTGAATTGAAGACTGACACTGTAAGTTACTAGCATCAGGACACCCAAACGATGCATCCTTCTTAATCATGTCTTATACAGGTTGAAATTCACTCTGTGCAGGAACAAGGGTGCTGAGCCCCAAATGCTGTCAGACAGCTTTGCCTGTTGTGGAATTACTATAAGAAATTAAATGGTTGAGTAGTTCTTGTAACCTCAGTATTTAGTGTCTGTATTTGTAACCTCTGCAAAGAAATAGAAGAAATAGGAAAAATAATGGGAAAATATTTAACATAGGTATTTCTCTATTCAGATTTTAAACCACTCATGCTATGCATTGCAAAGGATTTGCTGTAATGTTAGTTTTCTTGGGTTTAGAATAGTCTTGCAAATCTCCAGGGGATGGGCTTGTGCAGTACTACTGTATTGACAGTAGTCTTTTCATGAAGAAGCAGGAGTGGATCTTGCTTATTAAGCATAAACTTCATATGTCTTACTCCCACCTAGTGGAAAGAACATTAAGTTATGGCTCCCTAATAAGTAAGGGGACTTAAAAAGAGGTCAAGTGTCTTTTTGTATCTTGCATGTAGACTTAAAGATTAGGTCATCTCTGTTTAGCAGGCAGTTAACAACTTCTCATAAAATTAATTTACTCTGGCGTGCAGAACTGCTGTTTCCTGTGTGCACTCCATTACCTGAAGAAGGTGAACCCTGCCATGATCCTTCAAACAGACTTCTCAACCTGATCACCTGGGAACTGGAACCCGATGGAGTACTTGAGCGATGCCCATGTGCAAGTGGCTTGATCTGCCAACCTCAGAGGTAAAGATCAAAACTGGGCAGGCTGCTTGACATTTCTGAGGGGTCTTTATGTGGTAAATAGGTACAGAGCTTGCAGATTCTTTCATGCTATAAGCTTTTCTCATCAGTAGCCCTGAAACTCTCTCAAACTTACTGCTTTGTCCCACACAGGTTGTGCCTAATTGAGTTTGGCAACACCTTAATCTGGTGTGAATTAAGTTTGTGTATTGGGCTGGTGCTGCTTTTTAATCAATCAGAAAGTACTGTTGAGATGCATCATTCCATTCAATTCTCTACATACAGCTCTTGTCCACCAATTTTCTCTGTTAGATTTGGCTTCTGCTAGACATTTTGCTTTCATACATAAGATACTGAAGACATTTTAATGCATGTGCAAAGTATAAACAGGCATGTTCCTGCACTGCTGATCAGCTGTACAAAAGGTCACTTCTATCACAAGGAAAAAAGGTGTCTTTGCTGGCACCTCCCTTCAGCTTCAAACTAACCCGAGAAGCCAGTTTCCCTACTGCTGACTAAAGACCTGCTGTTCAGACATGGACCACTTCCTACTGTGCAGCCTCTTCAGTAGCATTTTGTTTCGAGGAACAGGAAGCGGGCTGACTCCGTATTTTCTGCTACAAGCTAGAACTGTTAATGTTGCATGCCTTTAATCATTCTTTAAAAGGACACTTATTTGCATTATCAGCCATTTCATTGGGAGAAGGTGAGATCATTTCAGTTTTGTGCTAAGAGCTTTTTTTAACCTACATATGATTATTTATGAATTAAATTCTCCAAGTTTGTTCCTGCACTACCATTTTCATTATATTAACTTTCAACAAGATAGCATAGCTGTGATAAGAGATGTACATTGGTATTTCTCTGTTCTTCTATGCCAACTCTGTTTCTACTTTTTTTTTTTTATTGATGAAAAGTAATTAGATAACATTTTGTTTTATAAATGTGATCTAAGGAAGCATGCAGAGTTGATCCCATCATTACAGCACCAAAGTTTTAGTTAATGTGCAAGTACCATTAACCTCAGGGAAGATATGTCAGCAAATGTCATGTCTAGTAAGAAGGAAAATATTTCAGCTGAGGATATAGAAACACAGAAATTAATTAGGGTGTGAATTCTAATTGAAGTGTCCAGCTGCAGTCCTAAGAATTACCTGTTTAGGGTTATCACAAATACAGTAATACTGTGCCTGACACCTGCCCATGACTTGCATGGACAGTAAGATAAAGCTGCTGCTTTGAATTTACATGGTGAATGTGAAGATTCAGGTAACAGCCCATCTCTGCTCGAAATAGCCCTTGGCTAAGTATTACCAGTGCATGATACATACTGAAACTACCACATTATATTCTAGAGAATATGGGTACAGTCTGCCTACAAATGGAAGTATCAGACCTCCTAGAGAAAAACATACAGGAATTCAAAATGTACACAAAATAAGCTTCAGGAATATCTTTAGTTCATTTACCCTTTGTTTCCAGTGAAAGAGGCTGCAGCTTTAAGCAGTTGTTGAGGGGTGCCTGGCACAAGCAGTGGCGACCTTGCACCTTCACAAGGACCTGTAGCCCGGTCCTGGCCCATGCAGTGCAGAGAGATAGCGGACGCACTGTGATCAAGTTGTATTCCCCTGCCTCCTGTCAACAAACACGAATGGGTCTTGCTCCCTTTCAAAAGCTCCTACAGCAGCTGGGGGACGTTTGCTTGCAGGCAGCTGAAGCTACTTTTCAAAACAAAACCAGCAGCAAATACAGCCTTTACACTGTCCTCTTTAGAACCAAATACACAGCACACAGTTTTCTTAACTCTGCAGCCTGATGGCAAACATTTTTCCGGTGTTCCTTTTAAGCTGGAGTATCATGTTTCTTAACCTGGTATTATGAACATGAACAGAAAGGACTAGTCATCACAATTGCTTGTAGGTAGAAGGGCCAGATTATGCTGAGGTCCACTGCCATCTTGTGTCCCAGTATCAAACACTTTTTGCTCTGTACGTACAAATCTCATCTTTAACTCTCCAGCTGTCAAGCACGTAAAAATCAGATGTTTATTAAGTGAGCTAGAGTAGATCTGACCGTATTATGCATTTAACATGCTTTCATATGGGGAGGGAATAAAGAATTGTATTAGCATGACAAGATGGACTGTATGACCAGGTGTGTCTCTTTCCAGCAGCCACAGCACTACATCTGTGTGTGAACTGTCTGCCAATGAAACCAGGAACAAAGACAAAGAAGGTCCCGTAATCATGGAAGAAATGCCGTTTCTCAGCTTGATACCCAGAGATATTCTTACTGATTATGAAGAAAGCAGTGTCATTCAGGAAGTGCGTAAAGAGTTAGAAGGGCTGGAGGAACAAGCAGGTTTGAAGCCTGAGCCTGACCCAGCTCATGACCTGTTTCTGGGAGATGAAATTTAAAAGTCTGAACACCAGACAGTTTAGTTAGTTATTTCTAGAAATTTTTGTCTAGTGTCTTGCTTATATAAACCCTAAACACATACTGCTGGATAGAAGTGCAATAAACAAGGTCTTCAATGAGCATCTTTTTCTGTGCACCAAACCTGCATGTTCAAATTATCGTTGAATTCATTTGATCCTTGGACCAAACCTTCTGTCAAAGGCAAATAAGAAATAAATCAGTGCTTCTTCTGGATTACTATTTTCCCCTTGTACATTAGAAATAAACTTAATCAGTACTTGTACTTATTAAAAAAGACACGTAAGCATAAATAATCTTACATTATTAGTGACTGTAGAAGTGACTTTTGAGTACATATGCTTAGAATAATTTATTTTTCTAGGGTAGGAACCATCTACTTTGGACTGGTTTAGCCATTGATTTTAAGCAACTTTTTACTTCTTTAGAAAATACAAATCAGTGAAGCTGCAACATACAGATTCCGGGTGCCATGTCCCCGTTCCCCCCCCCCCACATTGGGGAATGACAGAAAAGATAAAGGATGCTTAACTCTTTTAGAGGAATATACCCAGAGCTTCTTTTCCGCTGCATACAATGGATGCCATCTGTCCTGCAGCAGCCTTCAGTGTCACTTAAGAACTGGTGTGCCACAGCTGGAATATCTCTTGAGTTTTATACTTTTGTATACAATGGTCATGGGCCTCCCCCATTACATTAGGGGCAAACTATCAAAAAAAAGCTTAAAACATTTTCCATATAAATAACAAAGAGTGTGTACATATGTATACCCGTGTAACACTTTGGTTTCTATACAGGAACTTTCACTTTGACTGTTCAGGGCGCTCTCTCTCAAGGGCAAAATACACTATTTAAAATTGCCGAACAAACAGCTAACGGGGCTGAACTCAAAGCGTACAGAGTCTCTGTTGTACACTGAGTATGTAACAAAATATACAGGAGAATGGTGCAGCTGCATTGACAAGGCTATGCCTAGGCTAGAGCTAAAGACAGTACCAAATACCTGGCAGCATTCTGCGCTACATGAACATACCTTCTTGGGTAATGTCGATGAAAGGATCTGTTGACTGTACTCCATCGTCACCTGCCCTTTTTGAAAGAGAGGCAGTGAACACATACTCATTACTTCAGTTCAGCAGTAAGAAACCTCAGTAGCTTCTTAACATTTACAGACTTGTGCTTCTCCTGCTTGACTGTTACATCCAGAGAGAATTCTTTTGAGAAATGGTTTGTGCTTAGGCATAAATCTGGGTGTGTTACAAAATGCGATCATCATTACCATCTTCAAGGTCATTGATTTCAGAAATCAATAGCAAGCTAAGAGTAAAATCTGATCCCAGCTGTCTCAAGAAAGTCTGCTACAGTGGTTCTTCCACTATTAGTGTTTTTTTGGGGTATAGATTTCACCATCTGTTACTGCACATGGTAAAAGATGACATGAGGCTCCAACCAAGTAAATTTTTGTGGAGCTTCTCCCCAAATAACCCCTACTGCTTATATCTAATTTGGAACAGTAAAGCACCAATAACTTCACAAGAGCAGCTACAAGACAACTGTGCTACAAGCCTGTAAGTCTTTCACCACTTCTGGTCTATGAAAGCTTTTCAACAAATTCCTTAGGTACCAGAATTGTTAATAACCATTACCATTAAGAACAGGAAGGATATTTCATCAGACTGGTCTGACTTTCAGTTTAAGGACTCATTTCTACCACCAATTCTCACACCAGCACATGCTCACACACACATGCTCTCAGGAGTTCACTGGATTACTTTTCCTTTCTATCTAATAAAATGACTGTGCCTTAGAGACAGCCCATCTACCTACACAGAGAAGCAATTAAATATCATTGCAATTTTCCTGTTAAAAAAATACTTCATGAGAGCAGTAAATGCTGCCCTATTTAAGGATAACATTATTCTCCCTTCAAGTTTCCTGATGCCTTAGTCTCTGAAAGATAAGTGTTATCTTGCTGACTCAGAAATTCAGCAAGATTTTTGCTGAACCAAGCAAATTAGAAACCAAACAAATTAGGCTTTGTTTCTTTAAAATGCCCATGGTCAAACTCCAAAACGTTTGAAATTATCAGAATATAAAGCACAGAACAACTTTGAATATATTCCAGTACTCATGCAGAGGAAAGTGCACCACTGGACCGAAAATCATTATAAGGATGCCCATCAGTCCTCTATTCAGATTTCTGCCAAGACTTCTGCCAAGATTTAAAATTAACTTCTTCAAATAAGTTCTCAATGGAAGTTTCCCAAACAGGGCTATAGATTAAGCAAGCAGTTTTTAGAATTCTTTTCTTAGCCCCGCTTTGTTCTGTCTCGATTTTTGCCTCTCCAAACATCTAAGTTGGAAGAATATTCATGACCCATTAGACAGACAATTTCCTCCTCTCTTCCAAAACCTCCAAGGATCCTTCAGCAGTCTGTTCATGAAGTACTCTGCCCCTTGGATGGTACTGATGCTGTGCTTCCTTTGCTCCTGCTTCCACCTCATCTGTGTCAGACAAGGGGTGGCACAGGTCAAATAGAAGAGGAAGAACGAGGGAATTCCTCTGTGCAGTGCCTGGTTCTCAAGCTGCCAGATTCCTCAGGATTTTAGGTTGTTGTAGGTCAGCATGCAAGGAAGAAGTGAATGTTCAGTTACTGAAAACCTTTTTTTCCCTTCTCTGCAGCAGAACTTAGCTGCCAATCATATCCCGAGCTTAGAAATTTCACTGGTGAGGAATTCAATTCCAGAAAAAGAAACTTACAGTTGAAGAAAATTTTGGTGTGAATGTAAGTAAAGAGGAGCAGCAGGCAGGCTGTAAACCACTTCCTGTAATACTGTGTACATGCATGCGGGGGGTGTGTGTGTGCGCATATACACACATACATACACTGCAGCCTTACAATTCTGACATTGCCTTGGAAAAGTCTGTATTTCCATGAAATAATTCCGTAATTTTTCAAATAAAACCCACAGCATTTAATGATTAAAATAACACAACAGAATGAACAAATGTTTTATTGGCATGTTCATTGTTGTAAACAGCATCTGGCATGAAAAAGTTTACCAAAATCTTTTGATTGTTATAAATTAGGTGGTTTTTCCAAAAACTAGGGAGAATTGTTCTCTATTGATCTTTATGGACCAAAGCAAAAAATTGCTGTTCCTAGGCTTTGCAATGTAATCATGTCAACTGCATCAGTCTTTGCACCACAACCTCAACTACCAAGTTTGTATGTTGAGGTGTTGAAGGTTGCCCCAATATTTGACTACATAGAGCTACAGAATCAACTCTTGGAAAAATGAAATGACTTTCAGCGGGTGGAGAAGATGCAAACTTGTAATAGTCTGAAAAACAAAATGTACAAAAAGTAGCCGAACAAAAAAAACTTCATTGACAAGGGGAAATACAACCCTAAAGAACCCAGCATTGTCAAACATAAAATGAATACATATTTAAATAGGCAACTATACTTCCAAATGTACACAATGAATGTTGATATGTGAAAAGAAATACCATGGTAAATAGCTGAACTGCGGTTCTGTTAAATGGATAGGGCAAATTTTATTTACACATTGAACGCAATAGAATAGAGCTGCTCATCGGCTTTCGTAACCTATTAAAAACCAGTTTACCTTACAACAGCACTTCTGCAAAATGAACCAACACCTGCTCGCACCTTTCTGCAGACGCCTCTCAAGACTGTTTTATGGAAGAGTATTCTAAAACCTTACACTTGCAGAACTGCCATTTCATCTTTGACCCTCTTCTGCTGCTTTTTTAGAACTAATATGTTAACATTTACTTCAGACTCTCTGATGAGGTAATGCGTGTATCAGTGAAACAAACAGAAAAAAGGATTCTTTCATGGCCTTTGCACAGCTTTTATTATTAAGCTATGGAGTATCCTGTTTGAAGCTAGTTTCACTAGCTACTATGTGCACACTGTCCTCAAAAATTTCCACTCATTTCCCTCCCCGCCCGCTTTTTAGTTCTAATCTTTTATTTGCACATCCCTTTTAGCTTTACAGTACATTTGACTATAGTGCACAACATGATTCCAAGTCAAACAGTGACCCAACGGGGCACTGCACTTCTGACTGGTAACGCAGCCCAATCAGTGCTGGTGTCAGCGCTTTACACCTAATGAGTGTCCTGCCGTAATGGCACTACACAGTAGTAGTGAACCTTCTTATTTTAAACAAAAAAATTCCCCAGGGAAAATGCTATAGTGAGTATCAGTCTTGAGTCAAATCTTTATTTGGTGCTCCATCCAGATAAATTTTTAGTGCTTTTTCTTTACGAGGAGAGTAGGTTACCCGGTGTCCAGTCTTCTGGAGTCTGCTGCTTTCTTTTTTCATCAGTTCATTTCTCTGCTCATCTGTTAATCCCATTAATTCTTCAGTTTTATCCCTAAAACAAAAAAAGATGTTAAAATTCAGATTAATGCAATGACCATAATTTGGACAGATTTGTGTAATTTTTTCACTTGGAGCAACTTTATCAAAAACAGAACTAAGCATAATACTCCTTACAGATTATTTTCTTCTTCTCTAGAAACTAACAATCTGCTTAAACCTGCTTTTCTAATACACACATTCAGTGTTTTAACTTACAGCAGACCCAGGGGAAAGCAGCAAGAAACAAGCCTAGACTCCTCCATCTACCTGATGACTCCTATTCTTTACAGACAATTACGACACTGCTCTTTATTCGGTCACAGTGCCAATAGCTGGAACCAGCACATCAGCCAGCCCCTACTAGAAACTACCAGCTGCTCTTCCAGATCATTTTCTTCCAGGCCAGCACATTATCAACCAGCTGTTTCCCCCAAACTCACGTGTAATTACGAAAAATCCTGTAGGATCAATGTGTTCATGAGGTTGCCCCACCCACCAAGTTTAGTAGAAATGACTACAGTCAAGCTCTTAGTCCTCTGATACTGCCTTTGGGCTACTGCTGCCAGCTGATGGAACATTTTTCATATTAACGAAATCTTTATCATAACTTCTTTTGCCAAAGATGACATACTAATTTCTCAAAGAAATAAACTCAGAAAACCCTTGCCATGTACAACCTATGGCAAGACTCTCAGAGACTCCACAAAG